AAGAGAAGAGAAGAGAAGAGAAGAGAAGAGAAGAGAAGAGAAGAGAAATCCTAATCCCAGACAGATTTTTCAAATCAAAATATCAAATTAAACACATGTATTACTAATCCCTTTTCAATGTATTAAAAAAAAAAAAAGAGTACACTTTTTTTTTTTCATTTGTCCCCAAATACGTCACTCATTGCAACAAAAACAAAATGAAGGCCTCAACAATTACAATAAGACAGCTTAAAGCAGTTACTTGGTTAAAGGTACACTCCAATTGTTAAGTATTGACCCCTATAAAGTGTGTTGGCTCACAAGAGGTTGATATTGACAGAGTTCCTTCTATAGGCCATTCTCCAAAAACCCTGCATCCAGCAGTTCCCCTGATGGAATTGGACAGTTCTGATTGTACACTTCCTCCACTGAAAACTTCATTATCTCTCGTTTGCCTCCAGTTTGTAATGCATAAAATGTGACATGACATTTTTTACATCCACACTATGAATCTGTTTTCGGAGGCTGAGTTGCACCCTCGAAAGAAAGAAATTGACTCTGACATGTGAAAGTATTGGTTTAGGTTAAATTTGTAATTTTCTACTACAGGTTTCTACAGCACTACAAAAATGTCACTACTTCGTATAGTGGAGCAAATTGTTGCCTGTCAACCATCCACAGGCTCCTATATTAACCTTGATGTGTCTGAGTCCCTGTTCCAGAGCCAAAGGTCCCACAATGATTAATGTTTCCCCCACTGTGAGTCCTTATCTCAATGGCTGCCCCTCATATTCAGGTACTCCAGCTGCTGGTAATTTTAATTGTTCAGTTTTTAAAAACAGGAAAGGTTCAGGTTTCAGTCACATAAATGTCAGCAACATTAAGCAACAGGACAAGTTAAACCAGCTGAAAATCGTAATTCACAAACAGACCTATTGTTTCATCTGACTGAGATAAACAATGAATGACTTGGAAATAGGACCGGTTGAGGACAAGTCATCAACAACCTGTGTGCTTCTTAATGCAGCCACAGTTGAAAGCTGTTGTTTTTTTGGGTTTTTTTTGCACATAGGCCTCTACTTCCTCTTCATTTTAGCTGATCTTCTGTCTCCTTTAAAAAACTGATTAATTTGGGTGTTTTGAAACTAAATCTGCCTCATTTTTATTCAAAAGAAGTCTGTGGAAGATTTTAGCTTTCACAATTATTTACGGGGAAACTTTTAAAGATCCTCTTAAATCATTATTAATTGACTTGATCTTAACTATATCACTGTTTCAGGGGTATTTGAGTTTGTCCAAAAGCTTGTGTTGAAAGCACTAAGTTTAAAAAAATGATATCCATGTAGTGGGATTACACAGAAATTGAAGCATTTTGATGTGCAAGCCTTCTTAAATAAAGAAGGCAAGTAATATTCACATTTTGTTTTATCCCAGATGTTAAATGATCTCTGGACCATTTTAATGGCAAACATTTGAATTCAGTAGTTGACAAGCAATGTGGCTTTTCAAAAATGCAGACTACAGAATAGAGCAAGTCCCTGTTTCACAGCAGAAATCTCATCTTCACTTGAGGCGAGAAATAAGAGCTGGACTCATGTTAGATGTACCAGAAACCTCAGTCACATGCTTGGTTTTAGGCAACTTAGAAATGAATGCATCTCCACTGTTAATAGAACTAAACTGCTTTTTTAGATTTGAATTCGTTGATTCTAAAATCTCATTATTTTACTTGATCAGATTTTTTCTCCTCGTCTAAATCACTTCTTTTTAAAGCTGGCTGTAAATAATCGTGCCTTGCAAAATCTTAAAATGTCCAATAAACAATTAGATTAAAATCAATTCTCCCAATTCGCTTTAAGCAGAAATTAAAGACATTTTAATGACTATCACAGCCTGATTACTGCTGCCACACTTCTTTTAAGTTATACTCTTATGGTGTTAGATAGAAGGAAACAATATGCAGTTTTTTATTGTTCTTTCAAAGGCATTCAATACAGTTCATATACTACATATTGCTTTTAAAAAAAGACTTCACAGTAATGGAATTGGTTCAACTGCTTATAAATGGTTTCAAAAATATGGTAGGGACATGCGGCCTTCAGTAGCTATAAGAGTGTTGAATTCAGAAATTTGTGAAAATTACAAAAGGTGTCCCACAAGGCTCGATCTTGGGCCTTGGGTTTTGTTCAGTCTTTATATGGATGATATTGTTTCTCCTGTAACTCGGTAGAATGCAAATCTTTATGCTGATGATACAATTTAGCACTGTAGCATAGATGCTGTATATTATGCTGCTGAGTCCGTTGTCCACTGCTTGCTGATTTACAAGTTGCACTCAAAACCCATAGATTAGTTCTTAATGCAGGTAAAACTAAATCCATGATTTTGACCACAGACAAAATGTTTTAATGTGATAACCTTGTCGTCTCTATCAAGAATTTCACAGATATTCAAAAAGTCACATAACACAACTATCTTTTAATTTGGACAGATGAGAAAGGTGACTTTTAAACATCATGCGACTTAAATGATAAGTAAATTTAGTCAAAGAGTTGGTGTCTTTTGACATGTAAAAATGACATTTTCTGCTGCATTGTAGAAGCTCACTTGAGGCAACTTTTCTGTCAGATTATAGTCATTTTTACACATGCATACCTCAGTTGTTTAGCACTCTGAAATAGGATTTAATACTCATCAGCTCAGTGCTAAGTTCAGTTCTCCTCTGTAAGGTGTGATAGACACTATGTTTTTTTTCCAGTTATTTTCATAAGGCCTTTAACCCCTTCTCTCACACCTTACAATACTTCAGTGTTGTCTTAATGTTGGGCCCTTGCCAAACACCATGAAATAACAGAATTATTCTGCAGCTGCCAGCTGTTTTTTCTAAGCTTTGAAAATCCAGTTTTATTCACTGTGTACTTGCAACCTGGATAAACATAAAGAACAGTGTAAAGCTTGACTCATTTTTATCCCCTGGGCAGTTTTCAACTTATTTCACCACCTGTGGCTTTAGTGTTAGGTTGTTCATTTGCTTGAACCTATAAATGTTCTGTTTCTTGTTGATAGTTTTTATTATTGAAATAATGTCGCCTTTTTAATATTTTTTCTCGTCCTTTGTATCCCATTTTCAGGACTCCACAAGTGATATTACACAGACTGATGAACAAATATACGTGCAAGGAGTTCTCGTGTTTACTGAAAGCGTAGCAAAACAGTGTTCTCCAAACACATCTACATGCTACAAAAACACTCAAGTGTACAAACAAGTGCAGACACAAATTACAGTGTGCTGTCAGCACTTTACTGTCTGTCCTTAAAGCAAAGCAAACATATGACACAATGTTCCATTGGAAGAAAAGTACTTTGTCAGACACATTAATGACTCATTTGTCACATAAATGACTCACAGTTCTGACTGTGAGAACAGCATTGGGAAGAAGTGGGTGCGTGCAGGTGTCAACAAATCCTTGACTGTTGATACAGTACAGAGCTTTTGCTTTTGATTGTGTCTATTGTCCTTCAATTTGGGTCTATCAAAGAAGAGCTGACTTTGTGATAACCCTGCAGCAGACGGTCAGCCACACTGCACTTTGTGTTATTGATTACATCAATTAACTTACCAACTGCTCCCCACCTCTCTTCTCACATTGTTTTATTCATACCCACAAATGTTTGTAACTGTGCTTCATCATCAGCACAGGCCCTGAGTGAGAAGCAGCCCTGCACCTTACCCTGCTGTGTGTACTGGGCTGGCTGCTCTGGTGCGCTGTTGGGAGTGGTGAAAACTGGAGTTTGAATACATTGCTCCTCCCATGTTTCCTCTTAGTCCTCACTCTCAGTTGTGTTATGCTACACCACTCGTGTTCCTGTGGGCCAGTCACTCGTTAGATCTCTTCAACTCGCACTACCCTCCTTCTCTCTCTCTCTCTCCCTTCCTTTGCTGCTTTCCCATTTCCCACTCTGCTTCTTCATCCCCTCTCTGCAGCTATCTCACTCCCTCTGTAAACCAGGATCTGCAAACCAGCTCGTCAAGGTAAGAGCAAACAAATTTCCTCACATGCACTCACTGTACCTGTCAACACAAGAGATATTTACCAGTTAGCAACAAAACAAAGCAAAACAAAAGCTTATGCTCAAAGGGTTCATTAACAGTTGAGTTTGTTTCATTGTGTTAGAGTATTGTGTGATTCAGTTAAATCTGCTGGAATGTGTGCATGTGATACTGCCTCCACACCTTTATGAGCACCAGTCCCTACACGCACAGGCAATAGCCAGTGTAGAAATATGAGTTATTTGATTCCCTTGCTGATTCCTCTGGCTTACCTTAAATTTCATTTAAACTGAAGAACCTGTTCGGTAGCGCTGAGGGTTTTGTTCATCCTGTGCAGGAAATGTTCAGCAAGATATGGTTTTTGTGGTTCTGGCTAGCGGTGGACAGCAGACAGTGGCACATCATGTTCAATGTCTGTGGTTTTTCTGCAACCTGGTAAAATGCACGAAATGTACCGGAACTCTGAGCATCAAGTGAATTCAAAACCTCTTAAAGTCACAGTCAAAGCTCAGCATCCTGTAGAAGTCAGTCATTTTCATTTAGGAGCAAAAATGCTGATAATATCATATTCAAGTAGAAATATTGTTGCTTTGCTGCATTTTGAATTTTGCAACCACAAGACATTTAAATTGCACTAAATATTTTTATACTTTTAGTTTTTGTTTCAAAAACCAGAAGACTGTAAGAAAGTTGTTAGAGAGAAAAACAAAATACAGTAAAAATGTTAAAGATGTCAAGATTAAAAACTAAAAAAAAATCCAATTAAAGGAAGGAATTGCTTTTTTTAGTAGTGCACACTCTGTCCCTAACCCTGAGAGTTGCTATTTGAAAAATTTGATAACTAGTTTGTAACTATGACAGTGGGCGGCCACTAAAAGTCATTGACATGAACAACACTGATTAATGACTAGACTGTCCGGCCACTAATGCATGAGGTCAATGAGCTCATTTCATTCTGTGTGTTCAGATATTTTTGTCTTCATATGAATCAAAAAGAACAAAATAACAAAACGCTTTTCTTCCTCAACAGGTGCAAATGAATAGGTTTTGTATTTGTATTCAGACACACTGCAAACATGAACTCATACAGCGTCTCATTCAAGGTGGTTGAGTTAGAACATGTTCTTTGTCTTTGCAGGGCTGCAGGCCAATGTAAAGATTTAACAGCAAAAAACGCTGATGTAAGAAACCCCTACTTCTTGTTTCTCGTACTGCATTAGCAGAGACCTGACAATACCCCACCGAGACCAAGCTTTAGGGAAGAGGAAGCGAAAATAAGACAACAGACACAACAAAAAGCCACCGAAATTCAAACCACATCTCACACATCTGCAAAATGTTAAACAGACCAAAGGCAACATCTGTCAGAAACATGAGACGTGCTTGTTGACTTGTCACCTGGTTGTAATCACACCTTGTCGGCAGCTTCAGCCTGCTTGTTTTCACAGAAGTTGCTGTGGTAACTTTAAGTGCTGTAATTTAAAAGAACAACAAATATTGACATTAAAGTGCTATTTCAGACTGCTGATAAAAAATGAGTTAAATATTATTTTTGGATTTATGCATCTTAAAATGAAAACTTAACATTAAGACAAAAGTGAGGGAGATAGAAATAAGATATGCGGTTCTGCTTAATCCACTAAGTGTCTGTTAGTCTGATAAAAGTGCTTTTGACACGGCTGAGACAGCACTATCTAATATCCTCTGACACACGGTGGTAATTATAATGTTGACAAGCCATTGCTGAAAATAGTATGATGTGGTAGTTTCAACAAGTTTAGGCAAAGGATGATCAAATAAGACGTTGAGGTTTTATTTTGTTTGACCACTCATTTCACAGTTTTCTTTGTTAATAAAGAAATGCTTGCTAGTTTGGAATATATTCTGTCCTTGCTATTTCATGACAAGACATTGCTAATTGCAGTTTTACAACAAAGATAGCAGAAATCACTAAGAAGAACATTAAACACATAAAAAAAAAAAAAAAAATGCCAGAGGAATCAATTATAATATAAAATTAGAATAGAAAAAGGAGTAGTGAGTTCCTGGTGTGCGTTTGTCCATGTGTTCAAAGTTTGTGCGTGACTGGTAATTGCAGCCTGTAATTGCAGCCATACTGGGATTTACTGACTTCATCAGAAATTCACGTAAGAGGCTGCTGGGAAGGGAACAGTCAAGGATATGAGATTTTTTTTTTTTTCTTTTCTTGTAAATGCATATGCTTTTTCTTCATCAAAGCCTGCGTTGTGGATCTGGAATTAAACACGGTTTCCTGTCATCGAGTAAACACAACTCAGAGCAGTTTCTGGCGCGTAATGTTTATGAACAAGATCAGAATTTGACTGCGTTGTGTGAGCTGTCACAGATGGCGGGTTTTAAAAACAAATGAAAGTGAGCTCTGTGGACTAAGCTGATACAAAGACAACTAAAGTCTAAATGGTTAATCAAAAAAACAGGGAGCAAATAAAGGGTAACTGAAAAAAAACTGGAAGGCAAGAAAAGCATTGAGAACAAACTGAAGCAAGAAACAAAGTGAAAGAAAAGGGTACAAAAGTCTACATGCACAAACCAGAAGAACACAGAGAGAAGCCCTGCAGATAAACAGACAACCTGGCAACTAAAACAGGGAGAGACAAGACTATATATACACAGAGCGGCTCATTGATGAGACAAGATCAGACAGCAATAAGGGTGGGGCAGACAATTGAAAAGGAAGGAAAAACAGGAAATAAACTACAAAGAAAACCAAAGATCGTGACAGAGTGAAAAAATCTTTCTCTGAGGTCAATGTTTTTTTCCATGTGGTTGACGTAAAGTAGGACAGAGTGACATAGAACACATCGAATGTTCTTCAAAGGTTTTCCTGTCCAGTGGGGTTTGTGCATTATTGAAATGTGGCGGCAAGTGTGTGTTGCATGTTGTAGTTTAGCTCTATGTACTCTCCAATCCTTCTATGAGATACAGACGGGTGACAAATTAAAACCCTGAACCTTTGACCTCTACAGTGATGAGATCAGGTGGTTCTAATTTACTATGGGGGGATTTTTCAGACATGATTTGGATCCATTTGTCTTCTTAGAGGACAAGTGGATCCACCTTTATCCCATGATGAAACATGTCAGTCTTGATGGGAGTGAGCTCGACCAGGATCACCCCTCCACAGGGCACAAGGGGTCACTGAATGGTTTGATGAGTGCCAACATGATGTGAAACATGTGCTGATTAGATGTTAAACACAATTTTGGACCCACAGTTCCACCACCATTAAATTTGTCATCTGTTTGTATCAACAAGTTCAGATGGTCGGTGTTGTGTTGTGAATTAGGTGGATACATAATTCACCAACAAGATTGTCATTAGTGCTTTTAGGTCCAACTGCATCTGTAGTTTAAGTTACATAAGCAAATCAAGATTTCTCCTAAATGTGCAAAGGTTTCATGAGACAGCAGCATTGCTATTACTGCATCCTTTAAAAAAAAAAACTGCACAGTTTTGACAGATTTTCTTCTTGCTGTCTGACAAACCCCTTTAAAGCTGGTGACGATTTACAGTGGTAGGAACTGACAACTTCCAAAGTTCTTAAACCACACCTCAAATCCTCTACTTTCTCCAGAGAGGCTTAAGCTGAGAGAGGCTTGTACTATCCTCTGCATGTCACAGCAAATTCCTATTCCATGTTTTTGCTTAAGACATTTTTCTCCATTGATCTCACTGCAGATATCATAGTCTCTGGCAAAAGGTTAGCATTTTAACTGCAAGAACACTTCACACACCAAGTCATGTTTGAATTTTTTATATTTTTTTTTTCTGATTAGGTTTGCCAGTTTGTTTGACATTGCTTAGAAGCTTTTAGTGAGAAACACTCTTGTCTTTTTCTAACCCTATTTCTTGACAACAGGAAATGGCTTCGAAAAAGAAAATGGGCTACAAGTGTCGCATAGCAGTTGTGCTGCTACTCCTGTTGGCCAGTATTGCTGCCCTTGTTGCTGTTGCTGTCATCCAGGACACCTGGAGCACTAAAGAGTACAGCTTAGAGGTGAATGCACATGCACAAATGTTCATGTACTCACTCATAAACATGCACCATTTGGTTGTAGATCTTTTTTCATTTTGAGAAAGTAACACTATGTTGAAGCAAGTATACAAACACTCCAGCTTCAACAGACTGTGAATGTGATGCCAAACACTGTCCAGATGTCAGGGTCAGAGGAAAAGGCTTTCTTGTCATTAAGCTTGGTAATGGATATTGGTTCTGCTAAACCATGTGTGGTCTTGAGGAAGGCTGGTTGGTGTCACAGCAGCCTCTCTGCAGTTTAATGCAGTCTTTAGACAGATCAAAGCACATGTCCTTGTAACATGATTTTTTTTCTATTTTATTTATTTTAGTACGGCATAGTGATCGACTCGGGTTCATCTCGTTCCAATGTGTACCTGTATGAATGGCCAGGGGAGAAGTCAAATGAAACAGGAATAGTGACTGAAGTAATGAACTGCAGAGTCTCTGGTGAGTCACTGTTTCAAAAGCAAGAGGTGCAAACTCCTGCCTTTGCATGCTTTCTAATACTGATTCTAAAAAAATGCTTACGAAGATTATCAAATAACATATAGCAAGTCGTGACCTAAAAGCAAATGTGATGTAAAGAAAAAAAAATAAAGTCAAAACCTACTAAGCACTTTTAAAATTTCAGACATGCTCTGTAAAACCTTATCAAATTTAAAATGTCACAAGCATGTCTGTACTTAAAAATAAGATTTCAGCTTGGCTTTGTGCCCACAGGTATTGCTATCTCAGAGATGAAAGTGGACCCACAGAAAGATGCTGAAGCATGGGAAGGATTCAGAAGCTGCATGGATGAAGTCACCCAAAAAATTCCTGTTCAAAAACACAAGAACACGGTTCTCTTTCTGGGAGCTACTGCTGGAATGAGATTGTTACAGTAAGAAAGCTGCAGTTTAAATGCACCATATTGGTTTTCCACTTGTTGGGCCCCCATAGTCATATGTCCTCAGCCAAGAAACCAACCAGCACAGTAGAGATGAAATCATTAGTTGATCAGTTAATTTGGTGATAAAAAGCTTTTTTTTTTTTTTTTTTTTGGGAACAAAAATGCAAAACAAATCACAGGTGCCCTCTTGAGAAATGTGAATATCTACTAGTTTTCTGTGTTACTATGACAGTTAAATCAAGATTTGGGTTTTTTTGACTGTTGCTCACACAAAGCAGATCAATTTAAATATATTAACTTGGACCTGAGGGAATAATCATGGGTGTGTTTCACTATTTTTTGACATGTAATGCACTGAATCAAGGACTAAATAAAGCAATCATCACACCTGTTGATAAGGAGTAAAGCCAGCTAAAGTCTTAATAAAAAAGGGTTCATCTTCGATAATAAGAGCTCAAGATGGAGAACAATCACAGTTGATACCCTATTGATAAAAAAAAAGGTGATTATGCAAATTAAGTAATCAGAAACTGATTAGAATAAAAGTCTGGCCTTCTGGGCATTTGCCTACTTTGCCTGGTTGGTAATCCAGCCTTTTTTTTTCTCCCCCCACTGAGTCACCAGAAAGCCCCAGCAGTAAAAACATGTTTAGATTGCAGGCTGAGGCAAAATTCAAGAGCTCAGCTGGTGGGAAGTCCACACATGGGGTCTTCTCACAGTAGTGAGTAGTTACTGAGTTTTGAAGGTTACACAGTTTAGGCTGCTGGTCCGAAGGCTGGTTTGGTCCTTAGTATTGTGTTCACTACTTATGCTAGTTGAGAAATACAACATTTAGTTTTGTTTGACATGTTTTAATTTAGGGCTGCAGGGTGGCGCAGTTGGTTAGCACTGTTGCCTCGCAGCAAGAAGGCTGCCAGTTTGCATCCCGGTGGGGGCACCGGGATCTTTCTGCATGGAGCCCCGTGCAGTGTGGGTTCTCTCCGGGTTCTCTGGCTTCCTCCTACAAGGTCCAAAAACATGCTGAGGTTAATTGGTGACTCTAAATTGTCCGTAGGTGTGAATGTGAGTGTGCTTGGTTGTCTCTAAGTGTAGATAGTCTGTGATAGACTGGTGACCTGTCCAGGGTGTCCCCTGCCTTCACCCTAAGTCAGCTGGGATAGGCTCCAGCGCCCCCCGTGACCCTAATGAGGATTAAGCGGTGTATAGATAATGGATGGATGGATGTTTAAACTTCACACAAATCAAAGTAAAAATGTCAAGCGTTTTAGTACTTAGCCAAATTTGTGCAAATGCCCACTGCAGTTTAGAGGAGGCTGTTACTAATGTTGGCATATTGATGTGATTTTTGGAAAAAACAAAAGTTAGGATGTAAATGTCAGTATTACTGTCATATCTGTACAATAAATTTAAAGCTGGAAACAGAAGGGGGTTAGCTTAGCTTAGCTTAGCTTAGCATACATATGTAACAACTGTCATTTAAAGGCATCCAAAAATATCGTCTCAAGGCTAACCTACCAAACAAAGACTGCATTTTGTATGTTACTGTTTTTGAAAATGTTTCAATTTCCACTAGATTGATTTGTGTCTACCTTTGGACAAAGGAAGGCTAGCTGGCTATCCTTAGCTTCATATTTTGTGTAAACACATGAGTGGCATCAATCTTCTCATTTCTGCAACAGAACAAATACGTGAAATTCTCACATTTTAAAACTATTTTTGTAATATTGATTCAATTTTTTTCGACTTGTGTTTTCTGTACAATCTCTAATCTTATGCCTTTTTCTGCTTTGCTGTAAGTGAGAAGGATGAACAGAGGTCCAATGAAATCCTGGCGAGTCTCAAAGAATACCTGAGTGCACTGCCCTTTATTTTCCAAAATGCTTCCATCATTACTGGTCAGGAAGAAGGGCTGTATGGGTGGATCACTGTCAACTACCTAATGGGAAACTTCCTAGAAGTAAGACACTGTCATTATCTGTTTGGTCTATCAAAAATGTCTGTTTACAGGTGAAAATAGGGGGAAAAGTGTTACTTCACAAACATGTTTCATCTAATATTTCCTTTTCTCATCCGATTTGCAGAAAAACCTATGGAACAGATATGTACGTCCAGAAGGGGCAAAAACAGTGGGTTCCATGGACCTTGGTGGAGCATCAACACAGATTGCTTTTTCGATCCAGGAGGATCTCAAGGGGCCTGACTACTTGCGTGTCAAACTATATGGTTACTCCTACAATGTCTACACTCACAGCTTCCTCTGCTATGGCAAAAATGAAGCAGAGAAGAGGGTTCTCGACAAAGTAATCCAGGTGAACAACTTCTCCTTGTTTCTTTAACGTGTGCACAAATGAAAGTGTCTACAACAGAAGGTCATATGTGCCTGATACTATAAGAGTGGTTGTTCTGTCTTGAGATACCTATACATTTCTGTGTTCCCGTTTAAGTGCACACAGCAGCGAGAATGTCTGCTCTTTTTTTTTCTTTCCTTTTTTTGCATGCATGTGCAAGCTAAAGTCCATTAATGCCCAGTTAAGAATTGATTAGTGGACACTGCTGTCTTTGAGCTGCTAACAGGCAAGAGGATAACAGTCAAGGCTGCATTATATCATTAAGGATATTGATTGAACCATGAATTCTCTTCAAGCTTGTCTGCGGAAAATGCAATAGTTCTGGCAGCTCATTCTTGAAGCTAATAGCAATTTAAGAGGGAGAAATATGCTATGCTGTTAGATTATGCAGTGGGTATAAATTTGCTGCAACTCACCAGTATGAAATCTTCCTTAAAGTTTGTATTCACATCAGAATAATGAATTTACGTGAATGGCTGATAGATAAATACACAAAGAAGTCTTTAAATGCATAAGAATTACTGTCCAAACTTTTTCCTCTTATCTCGTCCTCCCATGTGGCTTCCTGTCCCTCATTCTTATTTTTTTGTTGCTGTTGTTGTTTATGCCCTTGTCTTGTTTGTTATGTCCTTCTGTGTTTCTTCTTTTCACATTTCCTTTTTGCTTTTAATGTTCCAGGAATCATCTGACCCAGGCAACATAATAAACCCCTGCTACCCTGAAGGTTTTAATATCACCTTGAAGGCCTCATCCATTTATGACACAGAGTGCACAAAGAAACCACAAAACTACAACCCAGATCAAGACTTATTCTTCGTCGGAGTCGCCAACTCAGACGGCTGTGAAAGCATTGTGAAGTCGATATTCGATTTCAAGACTTGCTCCTCATCACAGTGTTCCTTTGATGGCGTCGAGCAGCCACCGGTCACTGGAGATTTTATGGTAACACAGAGAGCAAATATAACACAGTGGAGCAAGCAGACAAAAATGCAAAACAACTTATGATATGTTTCTATTGTTCCTGCCAGGCATATGCGGGATTCTTCTACACTGCTAGGGCTCTGCTCATGAATGGCTCAACGGATCTCGATCAATTCAACGCCTCAGTTAGAGACTTCTGCCACACACACTGGACAGTGGTAAGTTCTTAAAGATAAATATATGGAGGGGACGCCACTAAAGACAGAAACGTCTTGCACAAATATGGAAACAGAAATGAACAGAAATTGTAATTTGACAAGATTACAGAACAGAAGCAATCTGCTCTGTAATCAAGTTTTGTCCCAAGGTGAACTTTTTACCTGCCCTGACATCACTGACTGAGGTTTACCAAGCTGTATGACAACATATTCTTGGCAAGTAAAGGCAAGGTTAGCACGGAAGCTCCCACAACATTATATTTTAATTTGTTGCTGTTATTTCCCTTCAAAGCTTGACGTCAAAGCTGTTCCTACTGGCAACCTAACTTACAAAATAAAACTCTTGGACATACAACATATACATATTAGACAAAATGTGATATTTCAGAAGTTAGCTAGTTAGAAGAAGTGGAGAGTTTAAAAAAAAAAAAAAAAGCGAAGAAAGAGAAAAAATATACTTGCGATGGATGAATTTGTACTTTATCCTAACTGTAAACTGAAGTCAGTCTTGATAACACAATATTTTGTCTCTGTCTGGTCTCGGCACTGATATTTCGTTAACAGCATTCAGTATAATTCATTGTTGTTCTTTGTTCATCCTAATCACAGTCTAAACTCTGATCTTTATTCTCTTCTTTTCAGTTGAAAGAACAAAAGTCATGGATTTCTGCCAGATACCTCAGGACTTACTGTTATGCAGCTCACTATGTCCTCACTTTGCTGGCAGATGGATACAAGTTTGACGAAGACACCTGGAAAAACATTTACTTCGAACGAGAGGTTGGTGGAACAAAAGTCACACCACATCTTGCTGTTGTCTTTTACCTAACTCTGAAGCCAGTGTATTCCAACAAAATTATACTGTGTCATATTTAAAAAATATGTCCATCAGAATATGTCTCATCTAAAATGTAAAGAGAGTTGTTGCGGGTGAGGTTTCACCAGCTACTCAGCCATTTACCATCCTTTAGCGTCCATAAGTATGAATCAGGCCACCCACTGGGCCTGAGATAGATGGATGACATACTTGTTATCTGCTTTCAAAGAGCTGATGCCAGAGGGAAAGCCATGCAATTTATGTGTTCACAAAGGAACTCCCTCACCAAAAGGGGATTCCTGGTCTATGACATTCCGTATATCCCATGTGAGTCATAAAGAAAGATAATAGCGCTTACAGAGTCACACATTATAGTCCCAGTTTCCAAATTGCATAGAGGTTGGCCTTTAGACACAAGACTGGACAAGATTGTTCCTAAACAGCTGGCAATATTCCCAATTTCCAACAAGTGAATTAGTGTACTCTGTGTGCTGTTTAAAGCCTTTGGGGGATCTGGGAGTGTAGTGGTTGGGACTCCTAATAGACGGAGTTACAAAACAGATTTTCTTCTTCGGGTTTTATGACTCATCTTTTGCCCTAGAGCTGTAATCGTGTAACTTCATGTGAGGATCGTTTGCCTTTTTCAACTTCTCCAGACATGTAAGGCGATGCACTGGTGCACTGGCGGCATTTACGTAACTGGTTCTCCTCTCTTCTCTTCAGGTAAAGAAAACCAGCATAGGCTGGAGTTTGGGCTACATGCTGAGTATGTCCAATATGATCCCGTCTGAAGTGAAAAATATCACCCCCATGACAGACCCCGTCTTTGCCGGCCTTATCTTTCTATTTTCAGCACTAACCATTGTTACTGTCGTCATAATTTTCATCTTCCTCGTTCGGAACTGCTACTGAGAGTGTAAGTTACAAAGGGGGTCATCTGCCATTGAAAGCCTTGGGGGCAGCTGAAACTCTGTAAGTAGCTGGAGAGCTACACCACCATCTGCCAAGGCACTTGTACTGAAAGTTACTAATCAGAATGTCTTAGCTTGAGCCATTAACTGCCCTATTGTTGAGTCTTTGAGTTACCTTCAGATTTGAGATGGTAAACAGCAGCTGTAAAAAAAAAAATAAAAAAAGTATTACGAAGACAGTTCATTTTGTACCTCAGGGAAGCTTGCCAAGATTTGAGTAATATTTTTTATTTTATTTTTTGTATTTAGTTAACTGTGATCAACAAAAGGGTGACACAGTGGTTGCCTGAATAGCAAACAATGATGAAAGAGCAGCCATGAAACGCCCATCTGCTTGTCTTTGTTGCACATTGTGTATTTTCAATTTTTTTTTTCTATCTCAAAATGAGATTCTATATGTGCATTCACATGAGTGCTCAGATGGACCCTTAGGCAAGAGCATGAGTTATTTACTCACCTACTAACTGTGTTTTTCTTCTTGTATTATACTTGTATTTGCACTGAATGCATCTGCATACAAAATGGTAGCATTTTGCCACAATGTAGTCTTTTATATTCTGTATGAACTGTCTGGAAACCATAGGTTCACAACAATACTCCACATTTATTGAATGAAAACCTCCCTAATAAATAATGTATTGAATGTGCAATGTGCCACTTCATTTGTCGTTTCATTATGTTTAAATACATGTGTATTGAACTCATAAAGGTTGTAGTAATGTATTTATAAAGAATTAATAGCTTCAGATACTTTTTTTAACGATTCAGTGCTACAACAGTTTTAAGCTTTTCTTACTTGCAATGTGCTGTTACTGGGAAGATTTTCATTCTTAACTGAGAACTGCATTAACATTAGCTGTACTCTGGTTAGCTCAGTTGTTTATTCAATGAAAAACTTTAGAAAGACAAATCAGTGGAGTATTTTGAGAAATGCCAACATTGACAATCCCCACATCAACAGTTTTAAATATGATCTATATATACAGTAGTGGGGGCTGGTCAATACGGGGCACAGGGGCGTCGTCCCACTAATGACCAGATAAAAAGTAGTTCTCAGACACAATATGAAATTTGAATTAATTCAAACAAAATAATAACAAAATCAATAATAACGTTCACATTCTTTTGCCATATTAACAATATTTGTATTATTAACAGATTCAATATTAGTCTTTTCTACGTGTTTACTAATTGGACACTTCCTGGATGCTGCCCCCCCCCCGAAAGTTTTCACCAGCAGCCACTGGGCTCATGTAGTATAAAAGATGTCTGATTACATCAACGTGCAGCCTTGAGAAAGTTACCAAGAGCCAGAGATGGTTTCATAGATGTAAAACTTTGATTACAATATCTGATTTCTTTTGGTATACCTTCAGACCATTACCAACCCTCAGTCATGACTGAAAGGGAGCAATGAGGCTGGATTACTGTCAGAGCAGTGAGCAGTGTTTTTTTTTTCTTCCTATTGTTGAACTGCAATGTCCTTGTGACAGTAATCATATTAATACAATTCTTTCAACACCAAAAAGAGAACATAGGAAGCATTCCATTGTGTAGCAAAACAAGTTTGTTTCCAGGGGACTCGAACATCATTTCAAACTGAAAACAGCATGAATAAAAACTGTGCATGTGTGTGTGTCTGTGTTTTGACATTCTACATACATTTAACTGTACTTGAGCATTATTCTCTGGAATGCTGTTGTCACTGCAGTGGAGAAAGTAATGCATGATTTTCATTTGTTGCATGACTGTTTTGTTCCTGCTTTGATAACAATGATCTCCCTGTTCAGAAGGTAAATAATAAACTGATCTACTAACGCCATCTTGTTTTGGTTGGCCTGGCTTACTATTAAACTTGGTGCTACATGATTAAAAAACAAGTGGCTACTTCTTCAGAGCTATTTTATTTACCAGCAGAGGCAATATGAAAGTACAAATCTGCCTCTAAAGGTAAATAATATGTATCTGTGTTAACTGGCCAACTTAAAAATCCCTTGTGACTTTTCTTTCAAACTGCACACATGCATACAAAATACAACAGCACGCTCTAGTGGCAACCTCCTGAACCAGACTTGCAAACTACTCCAACATGATTATTGACTGTTTGAAATATTTTTTTATTGAAAGTTTTGTCTAAAAAGAAAACAAAAAACAAACGAAAAACAAACAAAAAGATACATTTGAAACTACAGCAATATCCACTGGTTCTACAGACACTCTCAAAATCACAATTTGAAAGACATGGGAGGCATGTGACCAAGCAAATAAAAAAATAGCATCATCAAAGTTATTTCTGTTGCATCTTCTTTTACACACCTGTACAAAAAAGATCTCATAAATATTACTTTTTGTTCTCGCTTTTCTCTACTCTCGTTCTCTCTCTCTCGCTCTCTCTCTCTCATTTCAATAATTTATTTTCCACTAGAGGTTTGTATCTGCTTGATTTTGGTTGAACCACTTTTTTTTTTCTATGTCCATCCGTTCCTGCGTCTCCATTAGCTTCCTTTCATTGGTGGAGGGTCAGGTGGGTGCATCTTCGAGGGTGTGACCTCAGAACCAGTGCCAGCCACTTAAAGTCTGTATAGCATTTTCTCTTTATTTGCTGTTTGCACTCCTATTCAGCACAAATAATGCAGGTTCCTACTCCTTTCACCTTCATTCTGGCTCAGAATGGTCACTTTACTGTCATTCTGGAGGGGTACCTCTTCCACAGACACCCAACACAAGACAACCTCAATCTCCTGTACTGAAAAGTGTTTAGCAGCTCACACATCATAATCAGTTCTCAAAAAAGACAAAAAAAAAGGCAGCACAAAAACATAACTAAACAAAATCTCCTTATCTTTTTAGTAGAATACACGTAAGCTGAAATGATTTTGTTCTACATAAATGCCCTTTCCTCTTACAGAGATCATTGACCTGCTCACATTTTCAGTGGCTTGTGTTTGGCAAGACAGCGACAAAAAACAGTTTGTTGCATGGAGCCGAGACTATGCATTTCAAAAATGCAAACGAGTAAATCTAGAGCATTTTGGGAAGCGGTCATCGTGAGTTCCTGCGTCCCAGTGTTGGCATTTAGGATGTAAAGTCGGTCAATGCAGCCTGAGGAGGACGTAGTCGGCCGTAAGTTTAAAAAGCAGACGCCGATATTCCACAGGGTTTTAGATCTCTCAGTAGATGTAACAGCGCCACTTTAGATCAGCATCACGTCAGACAAACAAAACATCTCACATGGTTGAGGCAATTGTGTTAAAGACCTACTGCATGTTCTCATTCACTGATAAAATCATCTTGCACGCCAACAGCATGACAAGCAAGAAAAAAGTTTTAGTGAAAAAATAAAGAAAAAGCAACATAAGGAAGATCTCTTCACTATCTAGTTTCTTCATCTTTGGTATAAAATATGCCACCTGTAGGCTGCGTTTTGTTCAACAGTTAAGAAAGACTCGAGAAACTGTCAACAGTTTTACTAAAACTATTGCTTTTTGCACATTGAAAAATCCTAGCGTTTTTTTTTTTCTGCTTTTCTTTTTTGTCAAAGTCAGAAAAGTTCTTTTTTTTTCTTTTCTTTTTGCAGTGAGACAAGCAAAGCAGGCAAAGCAAAAACCCTTTTAAAAAGCAATCAAAAACAAACAAACAAAAAAAAAACTGAAAAGTACAAATGAGGTGGAGAGACAGAACATTTTATCCTATGATTAACTAAACTGCATTTTCCAGGAAGCAGTGGCTTGACCCTTCCCACAAGTCGCATTAAAGATTTTTTTTTTTTCTAACCAACCAACATCAGCTGCACTGCACCACATAATTTAAAATCATCTTCATACAAATACAACCCTTTTTTTTTTCTTTTTCTTTTTTTCTTTTTTAAATCCTGTACAGATAGCTTTGTAGATTTCATCTCTGAGGCTCTAAGAAACCTCTCATACCATTCAATCACTCAGTCTTTTTTTCTTTTTTTTTTTTAAACAATTCAACACTATGGAAACTTTTTCCCAAAGTTTGAGAAAATTAAGGCAATAAAGATTTACGAAAACATTGATATTCTAGAAAACTACTCAAATAATAAAAAGAATGAAAATAATATAGCTTAATATCAAAGGAAGACAGCCTGTCTTTTTTTTTGTAGACTTTTCTTCCTTCTTTTCTTTTTTAATAAAAAAGTCTGAAAATCTACCTGCACATTCAAAGGTTCTTTTTTTTTCTGTACAGCTTATTGGTTGAGTTTAGATTTCAGTCTATGTCATCTCTTTTTCCTTTGGAGGCAAAGTTCAGTCTCAAGGTGAAAAATGATAAAGTCAAAGTTGCAGACTGCGACTGATTTCATTGTCCTCTAGTTCAGCAAACCATCATTTGTTTTGTCTTCAGTCTTTTTCTTGGTTCAAACAGGTAAGAAAGATAATTGATTTTTTTTTTCTTCATTTTGTCTTTTATTTGGTGCCTGTGCACAGTGGAAGCATTCTTCCCTCAGTGTTGTCCTTGTCACCTCAGATTTTTTGTCCCGTTTCATTTTGATTCTCTCGGTGTCTCAAGCGCCTCAGTGCAGTCCTTCTAAAGGCAATGCAGCGATGATTCCTACCAGGCTTGTTATCTAAAGGAGACAGAAAAATCAGTGAAAAGGGGGTGACTGAAGAAACCGTGGACGAGGTTACTATTTCTAAACAGGCACAACAGTCTCTATACAACAGCTAGATGTACAGGAAACCACCAGCATTTTATCTAGGAGGCAGAAAAACAAGACAAAGACCAGCAAAGAGAGAAACAGAAGGTTGTGTTTTACAAGCTAGAGTTGACATGTTTCTATAACCAAAGCAGCAAAGTGTGTCATTGCATTTTCTCTGTACACTGCAAATACTATTCATCATCATTTATAATTGTAAGTAGGAAACCATTCTACAAACATGATGTCTCTCTGTATGAACAGGTTCTTTACCACCCACATACAATGAACTAAACATGAAGAGATTGACAGTGTGTTCATGATGTATGCCTGGATGAGGGAATCTTTTCAAGAACATTTTTTTTTTGTCAAGTCAGTTCTTGAACGGACATTCTTGTTCAAATCCTGTTGTTCAAACTGAACACAGGGACATGCCGTTCTAATGGCTTTACAAAATATGTGATGAAGAAAGTCCAGAGTCCTTGCAGCAAGAGGACATTCTGTACAAAAAAAGATGATAGCTTTTAACTAGAAGTCAGACTGGTTACTATATTAACTTCAGATGAACTTTGCACGGAAAAAAGGCCTGTGTTTGTTTGTTATTTTGTTCTCCATCTTTTGTCCCCGTATATTGAAAATACTTCCACAATAGCCAGTATTAACAATATTTTATGTCCTTATGGGAACCTGGCTATTGTTTGTTTTACCTATGAAAAAATAATAAAACTCTCTTTACCTTATGTTTGAAACAGCTGCCTTCCGTTTATCCTGATAAAACTACCAATAAGTAACATTTACGCCATGCCAGAGTTATCCCATAATGCACTACTTAGTGTCAGAATCCATCTTTTTCCATCCATCCTTTTTTCCACTTTCAACACGCCTCAACAGAACTGTTGTTGTAAATGTAAAGCAGCAAAACTTGAATTAAAGAAACCTGCAATGCAGCTGATGCTGTACAGCAATATCAATATCTATCTGTAGCAGCTGTACAAGGAGACTGTGAAAGAAATATAGACGATATACTCGTTGCACGTACTTAGTCTGCTGGTAAGAGTAGGCTGTGGCATGATCTCCCGTATTCTCCACTGATAAAGGCTGCTGCCCGCTGGCGTCCTGCGAGGAGGGGGCAGCTGTCTGTGGAGATGGGTCTGTCACCACGCCCTGACCGCAAAGTTACAGACAGAATGGATTAGATATGAAATCTTATATTGCTACAAGGTTTAATTTTAAACTTGCAGCTTCGGACAAGTGAGGCAAACTGAGGACTCCTCCTTTCCTCAAAGCACTGGGATACAAATTTAAGTACCCCAACAAGTTTACGAAAGACATAAATTCTCTTTCCATTTCTTAAAGGTGGAAGGTTCAACTGCGTCAGACAGGCTCCATTTAATTGATGCTAATTTTAGTAAGAACTTATGAAACTGGCCTCTGGGAGTTTAGCATAAATTAATTCTCTTCCTGAACTATACAAAGTGTCAAATGCTAAGTGACACTGATGTTTCCCAGAATACTTTCACAAATTTGCAGATTTCATCTGATAAGAGCACAGCCATTTGAAACTAGAACTACATGTAGCAGCCTCCATCTAACGCAGGAGCCATAATATGAGAGGTTATGGTGTAAAATTAGTTGTACAAAGTATTTGACATTCGTTTTGTGTCCTTACAACAGCATCAAAACTTTCAACCTACTGCACCAGATAATGAAAATCATGATGGGTTACTGATTAAATTTACTAAATAACTTTTTCTTTTGTGCTTACGTCCACTGTGATGGCAGAGGCAGGCACTGCAGTGTACTGGGGAATGTAGGTTCCTTGCATAGGAGCAGCCGCTGCAGCAGGCATGTACTGCAGAGGCAGAAGGAGGGGCAAAGACAGTAATATAATATAGGCACAATAATGTGTCCTCTGTAACCGCTTCACAGCCAACTATGTTCTGAAGCAGCACAGCACCACCATAAACAGAAAAGGACATTTTACAGCTTTGCTATGTGTCTTTTGCTCTGACAAGGTCATACAAATCTCAACGGGCTAATTATATCAAATATATTACGAGCCCAAGATAAACACACACACGCATGCAGAGCGAGATGAGCTGGGAGAGGCTAAAGAGGAGACTCACGGCGCCTGTGGGGCCCAGAGACAGGTGGTTCATCTGCTGGGTGAGAGGAGCCATTACACTGGAGGGGTGAAGAGACAAACTGGGCTCGATGGCCGCGGCTGGGGTGATCACAGCACCCTGAGGCAGGAAGGAAAGACGGATGAGCAGGTAGGTTATAGCTACTAACCGATAGTACCAGTCATTATGTATTAGGTGATAAACAACCAGTGGAGTCAGTTAAAATAAAATGTTCTCGAAAGGGAAGGGAATGGAAAACTGAAGTGAAAGAAATGTGAAGATTATAAGAAAAAGCAGCCAAATAAATGAGGAAATGATCTTAAGCTTAAACCAAACTACAGCTAAATCTCAAACTAAGCTTTGACAAAGAAAGGGGGATTTTCAGGTAAAACCTGAGCTGGGAGAACCATAATCTGAAGGGAAATACCAATAAATAAAAATCCCTTTCTTTCTGACACTTCAATGACAAAACTGATGCACTCACTCATGCAGTATGTTTGCCATATAAGAAGCTATGGCAAGAAGTAGGTTAACTTAGCTTAAGATAAAGACATAAAGCACACTGGAAACCCAAAGCCTTTCTCTGTTGAAGGGTAACAAAATTGTGCCTACCAGCCTAGATCTCAATATATATTAATATATTGTCCTTATGTTAATATATTATGATATTGTGTTCCTAAGGCAAGCTAACCAGTTTCATGGTTGTAGCTTCATTTTTTTTCCTGTGAATATGAGAGAGGCAGCAGTGCTTTGATAAGAAGGAGAACTATCCAACTGTTAAAATAAAACCACAAACTGCAGGTGCCTCAGAAAGTGCTCATATGCCACATTATGCGCACTTTATTGTGTTGCAAGATTTATTTTAACATGATAAAACGTTTTCCTTCTGCTGTCTTTCCACAATTCGTAATGAAAACCTGTAAATTTGGAAGAGGAAGCCCAGTTTGGGAACTTCAGTGTCGTGTCTTTGATTTTTGTGGATGATGTGGTTCTGTTGGCTTTATCAGGCCATGACTTCCTTTGTGCACTGGGGTGGTTTGTGAAGCTCTTTTCGATATCGAAAGGAGCAACTTAAGTTTCTTATAGTCAAGTGTGGCGGCATCATGGCATGAAGGTTCTCTTCATCAGCAACAACATGTTACATGTAATATGTTACAAATCGTTCTCCAGAGCACAATGACCTGAATCAGGGGCGATGGTTCACCTTTCACCATGACAGTAATATGCAGCATATAAACTAGCACAGGAGTGGCTTCAGAAAAAGTCTCTGACTGTTCTTGAATGGCTCAACCAAAGCCCAGACTTACACCCCATAGTAGATCTGTGGAGAGACCTGAAAATGGCAGTTGAGACGCTTTCCACCCAATCTGACAAAACATGAGATGATCCGCCAAGAAGAATGGGATAAGCTGCCCAAATCCTTGTATGAGAAGCTTCCAGAGAGTTACCCAAGAAGACTTGAAGCTGGTGGCAGCTAAAGGAGCTTCTACAAATTAATAAATTGCTGTATATTTTTGTAATTATGATATTTTCGTTTACGTCTTAGGAGGCCTGAGTTTGCAAACATTTCTAAAAGCATGTTTACTTCGTTATTGTATGTTATTGAAAAGGTAAAAATGTCCATATTACCAATTTGAGATGACATCTACAGCATATTAAAGTGTGTGAAACACTTGTTGAAGTACTGCTTTAAATTTAGATTTCTAAAACAGCATTCAATCTGAGAAAGCACAAACCATGAATTATCACACAAAAATGTGTGTCTGTGTGTTCACTGAAATGGGGGAAAAAATGTTTTTTAAGCTGCACAAGTCAAGAAGAAATGTTTAAGACAGAAACACCAAGCTAAAAAAAAAAAAAAAATGTTGTTTCGACTTCCAACTTAGTTAAATTTGATGACTACAAATGGTTTGACTTTGTACATGGAAATTCAGCCAGTCAGCCGGCTTGCCAGGCAGGCTTGACAGAACATGCTGGTGAATGGAGCAGACAGGCTTTTACTGTAAATCTCTTCAAAGTGAAGGGCTTTGATGCAGCCTAACACCTTGATACGCTGAGCTACTTTTCCAGTACAGCTCTGCTACAGCCTCAACAGCTCTGTAAAGATTTAATAGGAGACTCCTCACACTGTGTGCTGAGATGCCTGGCAACATCCCTGCAGCGGTAAACACTGCTCATTTGTGATAGCTGTTTAACCAGCCTACACTTCCCATGAGCACAGACAGCATCAGTGGATATGTGTCAGTATTGCTCCAGAGAGCAGTCAGCACCTCCACGGCTACATGTTGAGACAGGATGTTAGAAGAACACAGGTATTAAATTGTGGTACTTTAGGCTCAGGCCCAGCTGTCTGGCGGTTGTCATAGCAGCTGTGTATCTGTAGGGTTTCATGGGAAGGATCACAACAGCACAAGCACACATAAGCAAACACATACCAAGTGATGAAGGTTCGAACTATTTCTAGGGTTGCTTTTGATCACACACAGGATGTCTGAGTGGTTCACATTTGAGAATCTGTAATTTAAGATCCATATGTCTGCAAGCTTCACAGGGACACTCACATATGCAGACTAGTGACAAAACTAGAGAAATGTTGACAGGGTTTGACATCAGGCCTTGTCCAGGGCAAGTAACTTTTTTAATAAAGATAAATAAAATACGATGTACCTTTACATTATGTGCCACTAAATACTTTTCTATTTAGTTAAAATCATAACTGTCAAATTACGAATACCACTGTGGAAACAAATCCTTTTTTTCACCCACGAAACATTCAACTCTGAATGCCTTCATTGACCAATCTCCAGTTGATCCAAGTATTGCACAGAGTTTAAACTGCTCACAGTTTAATCATTTTTTTTAACCTGAGAAGGACAGTAACAGCAATGCTCCTTCAAGCTCAGCAGTTTAAGCATCTGCAGCTAAAGCATCAAGAAAAATACATATTACAGCTGCACCATACGACTCAAAGAGAAAACGAGGAAGGGGTTCCTTCAGCCAATCCTGAGCAGTTATTGCAGTATCAGCACATTCTCCTGCTGGGAGCCTTTAAGGAGTGCCGTTGGGCTGCTTTGGAACAATGTTTAGGTAGCTTGTAAGTGTCTGAGTAAGATCCACACGAATACCAGGAACCAAGGTTTACGAGCAGACTTGTAGTGCATTGTAATGAAATGATCAATGTCATTCACTTTATCTGTCTGTGGTTTTAATGCTGTGGCTGATCAGCGTATACCTCAAGATACACTTTACTTTATACCGTAGCAATGACATTAGCTAAGCACCAGCCGAGAGAATTGTGGCTTAATCTTGCTAAATCAGTCGCACTGACCCAAAAGCACATTTTGACATGTTCTACATATTGGTGTTTTTAAAATGGATGTAAAGAGTGAGGGTGTATCTGACTGGAGAACCTGAGGACACTACGCATGCTGATATGATCAAACACAGGGTAAACCCATCATAAACATACCCTGCTTTACCATCTATTGGCCTCTAAATTCGATCATAATTTAGAAAATGATCACCATGCATTCAAAAAGTCTTGAAAATAGCAATTAGGCCATAAACTTATCAGGAAGCTGTTTAGTGATGTGACAGATCAAGGGAGAAGTCGGGTCATTTTCTGATAGACCTCATTACAATTGGACTTCTTTTTGCAGCCAGAGGAGTCGCCCTTTGCTGGACATTAGAAACAATGTAGGGGTAAGGCACTGCCACACTGGCTTCACTTTTCATGGCTGGAGGTTATGTTTGTGTTTGACAGTAATCTGCATTTCTATCTTTTTCATCAAATTTATGAATCCACAAACACACCTGTTTTGTTTGTGTTTACTAAATATCAGTCATTGTGAATACGAGCCCATGTGCACAAACTCCATTTCTACTTCCCAGACGATCCAAAAACTAATGGATGCTCTTACATCTGACCTTTGCTCACAGTTGTGGCTATTTATAGCACCTTTTACACTAATTCATGACTTATAGCTGTAAACCAACATCAGTAATATCTCAGTTATTGTTAATAAACATCAGTATTATGATCAATGATTTATCTATAGAGCTAATATTGAAACAGACTTTACAAGGATCAAATGAAAATATCATTA